CGCCAGCGGTGCCGCTGTCCCAGCCGGGTGCTGCTCTCGGACCTGGGGCTTGGGCAGACGTTCCTCAGCATGTGGGTTTGAGAAGTGCAGAAAGACAAAATAAATAATTCCAGAAGGTGAAACCTGCCTTTTGGAACAAACAGGCAATGTTTAATTATTTTCCTGAGTGAGGGGAAAAGCTTGTTTAAATAGAGACCTTTGGGGTTGGGGTCTTCATAGCTCTGGACAGTCTCCCTCCCATTCTTTGCATTTTCTAAGAAGTTTTGAATTCAAGGTGCGGAAGAAAAGACAGGCGTAATGTTGTGTTGGCTGTGGCACTGGCAGTCTTTTCCCCGGCAGTGCATTTGTTGCTGGTGTCGATACTCCTGCAGCTGGTTTATGCTGATAGTAGCTCCTTTTGAAAAGCCAGTACTAGCTTTCCCCTCTTGCAAGATTTTCTGATAGGCTTTCCCTGCATTTGTGGTAGTGGCTGGTGAACAGACAAAGCCACAACAAACTTCTTTTTGTTTTCCTTTTATTTTTTAAGAGCCTGTTAAGGTGTATTATTGATAGCTACATCAGCACCTCTGGTTTTGGTCTCTCTCCGCTTTGTGCGGTGGCCACCACACACGTTGACTCACCGTCCAAAAGCATTACATAGATCACAAAATTTGTTCCAGTTAAAGCTTGTTTAAAAACTTACTTGGAGTCAAATGGCTTCAGTATGCGGAAATAAAATGTGTTTATTGAAATTTCCTAACTAATTCTGTGTGTGAAAGGTAGTTGCATCAGTTTGCCAAATGGCAAAATGCTTCTCAAGAAACATGTTTTGTTTAACACTTAATGGGATTGGATTTTTATTTTTTTTTTTCCTCCAGGAGTGTAAAACGCAGGTATTCTGGTCTTTGCTTGGTTTGTCGTTCACTGCTGAGGGGAACGGTGAAGTGTTTTGCTCTTGTTGAACTCTGATCTTTCCTTTTGCTGGCATTAAAAAGGGGCTTTACGGCGAGGCAGACACAAACTCATTTTACAGAAAAGAAACTTCTTCCATTGTTGCATTCTTACAGTACCTTTTACCTTTCTGAGAGCTTTCAGATTGGAATTGGTGCCTGCTTTTTACAGTTAAAATAGACATTAATGAAAATTCCCGGTGTCAGCTTTGTGGTTACTTCCCTGGTCACAATCTGGAGACTTATCAAGCGAGCGCGCCTGTTTGTTCTTCCAGAGAAACACACCAAGCTCGCAAAGCAGTTTATCATTTCTGAAATATTTCTGAGATACTTACGTAACCAGCACGTAGGCTTCTGAACAGGTTAAAACTCTGGGGTTTGGAGACTGAAGGGCAGATTGCCCAAGGGAGATGTAAGATTTCCCCAAGATGAGTAGGCTGTGCTCGTGCAGCGTGGTGCCAGACGCTTCGACATCGGTGTCATCATCGCACCGAGAAATTCGCCTTTAATAGGAAATTAAAGATTGCAAGAAGCTACATGGAGAGCTTTGATAGATCTGACAAATGCAATCCTGAGAGAGGACGAAAACAAAACTGAGACTACTGAAAACTCCTTTCAGTAGCAGATCATCTCGTAGAGTGGGTAACTGATGGAAGCGGCGATAAAGGGGAATACCTGAGATACAGGATTTCAGAGGAAATGGTTTTTACTACATTTACTGGTAGAAAATTCCTAATTTACGTGCAGTTGTGATTTGTGTCTATCCTTCTAGTAAGTAAAACGAGGTTTATGGTGAAAAGGTGCTGTTAACCTCTGCAGCCACGCATAAGGCTTTTGAAGGCACAGCCTAGGCGTTGCAGCCTGGCTGGAAGTCCACCAGAAATCGGTCTGGTTTCGTGGTCTGATGTATGGTTCTTGCTCCAGCGTAGGAGCTTTGTGGAAAATGCAGCAGGGGTTATGCATTTTAAAATGGGAGAATAACAAAATTTTGGGATACAGTTGCATCACAGTGCTTGCGGATGGTTATACAGCTTTTTATAAGTTTTTCCACATGAAACATAGGAACGATGGTTCTAAGCAGAGACTGAATAGTAGTTATGATGGATGATGTTAGAGCAGGGCAGGAGCAGCCGTGGCACCACGGGGTCTCTCTGCTTATACAGTCTGATTTTCTTCCACCTTTTGGGTGGAGGAACAGAGACTTCATAAACATCCAAGAAAGCCCAAGTTCTTTTCAGGATCGTTTTCCCAAGTGAGTAGTTTTTGGAGAGCCCATGGGACTTGGCGGCAGAAGGGCTGGTTTGGAGCCTCTGTTATACAAAGGGAAGGAGGAGGCTGGTGCGCTAAACCGGTCAGTTGTCGAGCGGTGCAGACTGCTGGCGGGGTGATTATCAAGGTATGCATCTCGTAGGGAAGGACATGTCAGCCGTAAAAGAAAACAACCCTGAAACCTGCCTGCAGTGAGGCTGGAGTTTCATAATTACTTGGGGTCAATCAAATTGCAGGTTGGTGCTGAAAGGGGGGATCCCACCAGCCCCGCTCCCTGCGGCTGCAGTTTCCCACCTCCCTTTTGTACTGGGAACCGCAACGTGTAGCCGCCGGGGGTCCTGAGCAGGGAACAGGTTCAATGCCACAGAAATTTGGAGGGGAGAGGTGGGCTAGTGATTTTTAGCAGGCGGGCAGTCCTGTTGGGGCTCCCTGCGCAGCCGTGTCATCGGGGTCTGTGGCACTGGGGTGACAGGCAGAGTGAAGAGGGACAGCGCCTGGGGAGCCCAAAAGAGGCTGGAAATAGTTGCATTGAAGGAAGACAAATACACTCCAAGCTGATTGTTGTTACAGTGGATAGCAGATTGACCCTCCTAGTTATAGTTGGGTTTTTTTTATATTGCATGAAAGAAACCTTTTAGTGTTTGTTTTCTGAGCATGGCTTTAATGACTCCTGCACTTAAGAGCATAAGACTTGCTTGTCTCCTCTCTTCCCACTGCCTCCCTCCCACCCCCAATAAATTTGTTGAAATGGGTCAAAGTAGAAACCCTGGAGAGAGTTCTCCCGTTATCTGTGGCTTAAGCAGCATGAACTGCATCTGCCCTAAATCGATGGGACTTCGGGGCAAGGGGAGGATAATGGTCTGGCTTGTTCTCTCTCAAAATGTACTCCATGTAGTGACTCACTTTTTGCAGGGGCGATTGAACACTGGCTATTTTTGACCAGAAAGTTTATTAGCCAGGGTTGAATCGGTGGAACTAAAGCTTCCAGGCTTTGAATCCTTTCTGTAGGCAGGTCACCACTGCGACACCTTTGAGCCCTGGTTTCTCTTTGCTTTTCATTGGAACCTTTTTGATTTCAAAGGTGTGGAGAACGATACTGAAACATGGTCTCCTATTTTTGTTACGCTCCAAAGACGCTCCAGTATGCTTCTCTCTGTACAGTATTACATCTCCTTTTATTTAATATCCGCTCAGGGAGTGGTTGCAAGGCATGGGAGGCGTGTGTACTTTAGAGTGTTATCCAGTACTCAAGTCTGAAATCTCAAAGTCAATACTTTTGTGCTTGCTTGCAGAAATAATGCATTGGCCACATTGAATTTATACAAAAAAATGGGGTGTCTCATGAGATCAAGTCACAAAAGTATGAAAAATCTTCTATTAATGTTTCCGAGTTCTGTATTAGGATTTTTAAATAAATGAAACTTGTAGTGTACATGGTTGAGATCACGTAAAGAAGTAAAAGGCAGTGGTTTTCCAAATAGTTTTGATTTGGGGCTTGTTAACTGTGACATAGCTTGAAGATTTAATATCTCATTTTATATCAGAACTTGGATACGGAGCTAGATATCTGCTGTCTCCTGGAATTGCATCTTTCTGTATCTGTTGTTTGTAAATGCCAGGCAAGATCTTGAGCTTTTGGGCTTCAGCATCAAACAGTTCAGTGCAGTTGCATGATGGCATTTCTCCTTGGCGATGCCCGTACCTGAGATGTCACATAAGGAAATGTTTCGCGGTGAGAAATTATCCTACCTGTCCCAGAAGGAATTCTGACACTAATGGGAAGGTGCCGGTAGTCAGTGCATCGGGGCATCGGTGTCGCTCCAGCAGCGCGGGCAAGAAGCCTGCCCTTCATTTGCCACCTGACTCTTCATAATAGCACAAAATATGAAATATGTTTTATTTTTTTAATCAGTTCTTTTTCTTTCTTGTCTCTCAACTTGGAAACGTGTCTTTAAAAGCAAAGTTGCTTGGTAGCACTCCATGTTGTAAAACAAAGCCTTTGGTTCTTTGGTCTCCTGAAATTCCCTCTTCCTTCATGATTTGTGTTTGCTTTGCTGTGCTTTAAATGTGTGCTTCCTTTTTAAATATAGTTTTCCAAGTTGCTGGCCGTACCAGATTGTTTATGTTTTTAAAAGCCTTCTGCTTAGCCGTTATATTGCTCTTTATAGTACTGCTTAACCACATTGGTTTCTGTTGCTCTTTTTTCTTGCATAAACTTAGCTGGGATGAATTTCAAATGTGGTTTATCCAACTGTTAAGTATTTCCCACTTTTCTGCAATAGATTTCACATATGTTACAGAATTCCAGACCAAGATCTGGTGGACATATTGCCCTGTTTTTTTCCTCAAAGTCAGAAATAGAGGGGGTTTTAGGCATTACAGTGGCAATATTTAGGTCACTGGCTCCAGCATGCTGCCTAGCTTCAAATCCATTTGTCATATTTAGCTTATTTCCAAGGATTAAGATAACTATGGTCCAAGTATTTATTAGGAAAAAAAAGTCTCTTAATTTTGTGGTAATAAACCAAAAGGAGGAAGAAAGTATTGATCCTTTCGAGTTGGAAAGTGCAGAAAGGGTGGTGATATTTTGGTTGCAAGATGGAATCAAAAAGGTGGTAGAACTTCATTTGATGTTGTTCAGGAGGTCCGGTTTCTGGAGGCTCGGTACTTTGTTCTGTACTGCTCTGTAGTCCAGCCATCTCGATATTTCCAAACTGCATGATGGACAAAGGAGCTTTTGGTTTTGTTTCTATGAGAAACTGACTATAGTTCCCTTTTTTGTTCTTTTGTTTTTCTTGACAGAGAGAGCTCGATGCCACAGCAACAATATTGGCTAACCGGCAAGATGAAAGTGAGCAGTCTAGGAAAAAACTTATTGAGCAAAGTCGGGAGTTCAAGAAAAACACTCCAGAGGTAAGGAGAAAAGCTATTCCAGGCTGTTGGGTTTCTTGCAGTGGTGTATGGTGTTAGGCCTGCTTACGTGAGGTTTTTTCTTGATGGTTTGCTTCCATGATTTTCTTGTATGTATTGCCAAGTCCTCCTCTTCACTAAGACTGCTTATCTTTGATGGCTTTCTCACCAGGCAGCTTTTGCATTTTGTAAGTAATGAAATATGAATTGACATTTTTAGAGGAAATAGGAACACTAGCATTCAAACAGGCTTGCTATAAATTTTGTAATAAAGTAAAACCTGGTGAATTGCAAAAAAAAAAATTCTTCTTCACTAATCCAAACTCTCTTAGCACTTGGATGTAGAAAGTGACATTTCACTGCCTGAATAAATCTATATCAAGGGCACAACTTCAAAGATGCTCATTTTTCCATCAAAAATCAAATTAAGTTTTGCTGCTGATTTCACTGGAAATGCAACAAGGTCAGTGCTGAGCACTTCAGAAAACCCCCCTTGGAGGACGTGCGTCGCACGCAGCAGGTGCTGTGTAAAAGGTGTCGGACTGATGGTAGGCAAGGCTCCGAAAGGTGGATGCTGCAAGTAGGATGCTGCGGGTATTTAAACTCTCCCATGCTCGTGTTGCATGTGCAGTGTGTCTGTGTACATGTATGCATAATTGTATAGAAAATGCATATAAATTAATTTTATGAACTGTAGTGAATGCATGGCAGTGTGTAGGGCTTTTTGTTTGGTTGGTTGGTTTGTAGTGGGGTTTTTTTCCCCCCCAGTGATTGCCAGCAGTCTGTTCATCCAGAGGTATTCTAGGGTTTCCGAGCCCATTCCAGATAACTAATACACAAGTATTGGTTCCTTACAAGTATCTTTCTGGGAGAGAAGCCTCCGGCAGCTTTTCTAACCTTTATTGCTCCTTCTCGAGTGGCAGATGCTGCTTTGCTTCCTGGTGGTGCAGAAGGAAGGATGCTGGAGCAGCCTGACCTGGAGAGGGCAGAGGGAATGTCGGAGCGGGAGTGACTTTCTGATGCCCCAGGGGAGGCTTTGTGGGGCAGAAATTGATTCTCTTTTTGTGATAAAGAGAAAATTTGGGGACCGCAGCTTCTAAGGAACAGAACTTTTTTTTAAAAGGAGCAAAAGCACATGGAAAGCAAATGCAGCAGCTCTGAGAGGGTGAGGAACGAGTCGGTTCCCTTTGCAGAGGAGAGCAAACTGTGGGGATGGTGAGGAGGAAGGAGAGAAGTGAAAGAATGTAGAGGGTATAGGAAATTTGTACAAAATCCAGAAAATAAATAGTTGTCTGGGGACACATTTTTAAATTGTTTACTAGAAGCTTACGTTCATTCTGTGAGATTTCGTCAAGTTTCCTGATGCCTTCCTTTTTTTTTTTTTTTTTCCTGTAAGGAAAATGACAGATTTCTTCAGCATGTGGCTATACCTGCCAGCTCCTAGCTGATAGCATGTTTGCAGAGTTGCTTCAGGATGATTTCTTTTGGCCAATTTTATTTTTATGGAGCAGAAGGTGACTGTGGGGGAAAAATAACCCAAACCCGAGCACTGCACTTTTAAGTGCCTCGTGCAAGGGTATTGGTAGCTTGGTGGGAGTTGATGTGGAGAGGAAGATTTATCTACTCTGTATAGTTCCTTCAAGAGATACAGTGGGAGAACGATATGCAATTAGTTCTTTCCAGTAAGCAAGACAGAGAAGTGAATAAATCATTTGATGGTATGGTTTTAAATATGCTCTTATAAAATATAATTCTGTAGCCTTCCATATAACATTTTGCACGAGAGTAGAGGTGTTTCATTAATTCAAGGACCAGGTTCAAAACAGTGGCTCTGGACCTCCCCAGTGTTGGGATCTGTCCTAGATTCTATATCCTGACCTTGTGTCCTGGGACTCTGCGAAGCCACGCTCCTTTACAAGCTTGCATGGATTTTTTTGTATTCTTGCTTTCTCTGTCTTCTCCGCTGTGATGTTCTCTCTGCAGCTTCGTTTCTGAACAGCAGCACAATCTGACTCTTTTACTGTCTCTAACAATTAAAAAATTAAAACAGCATCAAAGAACTAGCAGAAATTATCCAAACTGTAATAATAGCCAGCTGTGACAGATGTGATAGCAGTTATTGCTTCCAAGGAGGAAGGAGCGCAGACGTACGGGGTCTGACAGGGTCCCCCCCTCCTCTCCTATCCATGTGGGTGTGTAAGGGTCAAGAACAGAGTGAGGCAGCATCCTCAAGCCACGCTGGAAAGCTTCACTGGTACTCCTCTTAACACAAGTGTAAGCTTGTGCACTGTGTGTTCACCTTCAGCTGTTCTCTGCACCCCCCAAAAGAAGGGAAGTCTGTGAGTGCTTCCAAAGCTCAGGCAGTTTTGGATGACAGTTGAAAATTAGAAGGCAGGATTATTATCTACATGATCTGATTTTTTCCAAAACTGAGACTGTCTGAAAACCTACCCAGGATGGTGAAAGACAGGAAACGCACAGTGAGCCACTGGCATTCCAAACGGATCCATCCATGTTACTGAAACATCAAACATGCTCGTATTAATAACAGAAAAGTTCTGTAGTACAGAACCAGCTGAACATGCAGAACTGTTCTTCAGATAAATCAAGCTGTATACTGGGTTATTTATTTAAATTTCCACAATAAAGTGATGTCTTTCTTGGTACAAAAAAACCCAAAACCACAAAGATGGGATTGTTAAATGTAACAATTAGTTTCAGAATTCTAATTCCCATTTTCTTTTTTATTCTGTGTGTATCCCTGTAGTGGTTCAGCCTGTTCCAGCATCTCTTTTCCTCTGCTGGAGCCAGTCTCACCATAAATCAGGAGACAAGTGTCGATTGCCTTGACTTTCCTATCCACTGCTGGCTGGGATGTCCCCTGGACTTCCTATAATGTCTACTGCAAGCAACCTCCTGTGTAGTAGAAAGGGATTTGAAAAAATTACTAACAAAGTTGAGGATATTTATGCTTCTGTTTCATTTTACTTTAAAAAATGTGACAGATCTATTTCAGTCAATTCTGCCTTCCTTTATCAAGTTGCTGTAACAGAAATATAATATTTTTGTGTTTATAGGAATGACTCTAGGGCTTTTGGTATTTAAAAATGTTAAAATACTATTTCTGACTTGGCATACTGGGAGGTGACTCTGGGAAGAAGTGTCTCATGTTTGGGAACCTTATGAGAACAGAAAATGTGGTGGTGGTTGTTGCGTACAGAAACTTTTGGAAAGGGTTCTTAATTCCTGTTATTCCAAAAATACTTTTTACTTCCTCATACCTTTTAAGAGGTCATATCAGACCTGCTGCTCACAGATGTTTTGGGATGTTTTCAGTCTCTGTTTCATCTTGAGCAGCAGCTGCAGAAGGCTGGGACTGGTCAGGAGATTACTTGAAATATCAATTTAATGTGACTGTTACTTGGAAGACATCTCAAACTATATCATGTGAATTGCCACCCATCATTGGATGATGATTTTTCTATAGTGATAGTTCCTGAACTGTTGTGACTATACTTTTTGGGTGTTTCAACCTCTGTGAAATTCTTGCTCTAATTCACCGTGTCCTCATACGCTGATTCTGTGAATAAGCAAATGTTTGAATGACCATCTTTGAGAATTTTTCTTTTAGTGACTAAATAATTTCAGTTAATAGTTTTCAGTGAAGATACTCCCTGATGTTTGTAACTTTGCCATCATTTCTACCCAGATTCCGAGTTGAGTGACTGCTTTTATTTACCTGTTTCTGCTTTAGACATTGACAAGCGTATCTGGTACTTCCAGGTACTTTTAAGCTAGTCAACGCCAACCAGGAAGAATACCAGAAACAAATAACTGAGTAAGCCTAGACTTTGTAAATAAGTAATATGTAAATGTTAAATACTCACAGAGAGGAATGGCAACAATACTTAGGCCTGTTTGAGCTGTAACTCTGCACTGCTTTCCTTTGGGATTTAGCGGTGTGATCCAGATGACGGCAGAGCTGTGGGGGTTATTACCACGCTCCCCTGAAACAGGGGTGATTAAACTGGGCACAGGAGACAAGACCAGCCTGAGAGCCCTGGGCCAGCTGCTCCTGGGACATTAAACGAGATACTAGTTCTCTAATGTGAGAGCACGAGCTCTTAAAAATCAGGCAGGTACAACGCGCCTGCATGACGCGTGTGTTTGGCTCCAGGAGCTTCCCTGGTGAGCTTTCCTGTGGTCACTGCTCTTGCTCCTGACGGTAAGTTGAACTGTTGGTTCCTCGCTGTTGTTGCCCTTTGCTGTCTCCAGGTTGCAAATGTACTCTGTCGGCGGAGATTTAGAAAGTCAGGATTACCTTTAAATGATCAAATTGACATCTGTGTTTGGTAAAGCAGCTTAAAGATTGGATCAGCAGAGGTATGGAAGGATGGAGAGAACCTTTAAACACAGACACACGGCAACACGAGCACGTTCTCAAACCAATAGCTTTAAATTGCCCTGGAAAATGGAGTATTGGAAGGTGCCAGAAAACAAAATAAATGAGCATATGAAAAGCACATCTTAACACTGACTGAGTGGATGTGGCAGCCTGCTGACCCCGAGCACTTTTATAAATAAACACCAGTTCTGCGGTGTGACAGCGATGTGGCACTGAGGCCATCCGGGGCTGCGCTGCTGTGTGCTCCCCGGGCTCGTGGGCGTGCGTTCGTCCAGCGTGGTACAGCTGCTTTCCCTGTGCTTACCCCGTATGGATCGTTTGGCATGATCAGTTCTGTGCTGCCTGGGTTGATCCCTAATGGGGAACGTTACCTGGGCATTCATCCTCGATCTTGTCACTAGTGCTGTCGTCCTGCTCGGTGACATTTCTGCAGTGCCACAGCTGCAGAAGAGAAGCAAAGATGAGTCTGTAGACTTTGTTACAAAAGTAATAGTTTTATTAATGACATTATGTATTAGGGTGATGCACGTTTTTAAGATCTATGGTGTTGTCTTTTTGTTTTTTTTAACCCACGTTATCATTTCCAGTCATAACTGGC